CGCGGCAGTGGGAAGTGAACCAGTTTTAGAAGCCTTGACAATTTCCTTGGAATCGACCGGCGTTCAATGACATCTCTTTGCAAAGTTTTATAGTCTTAAAAACTAGTGGAATTTGCCGTAGCAGACATAGAAACTTGCACAGTCGTCTCTATTCTTGGGACTTTGTCACCATGAGAAAAAGTATACATGTCTGCTAGAAATGACTATACATGGAAGGATCACAAGTCTATATGACTAAACTTTTCTTTTACATAATCATAGCGCTTACAGTTATCTGTGATAATGGAAGGTTAAAGAAAGATTTGGAGAGCTGGGCAATAGAAAAATTTTATTATGAGTTGTACCTTAGGGTGCAAATTTCGAACATTATAGTTATATGCCTTTTATTTTCAATTGAATCAGTTCTTATTCTTTATTGCTCCCACATAGCATTTCCTAAATTAACTCTTTTGCTGAGTAACAGTTCTTCACAGATTAGGCATTGAATGGGCTGAACATTTAGAGGATTTAGCATGTCTTTAAGAGAAAGGCCATAACTTTCAGCTGAAATGGCATGTGGCATTTATTAATTATTTACCACTCGAGGCATCTTGTCATCTACCTGCAGTACACACATATACGATTGTTTAGGTATTTTGATTGGCTATGATCTGTCTGAGTATCCCAAAAGGGAAATATTCCTGTTTTTTCACGGTTTCTAGGGCTATACATCTACCTACCGCCTTGCTTAGTGCCAAAGTATTGTGCGCTGCTTGTTATTCTCCTTTCCTTCAGAGAAAATCTTTCATTTATCATGTACTAACTTTTCCGTTATAAGCACCAATGCAGTCATCAAATGTTATATTATGACATGAGTTTACTGCCTGTCTGAGACATGAGGAATCTGCTCTGATGTAATCTTCTGGCCAATATTCTTAATCCAGCTTGGGGGGTTTAAAATAGTTCTACTGAAATTTTAATGATGAAAGTGAGTAGGACATCATTGAAATGTGGCTTTTCCTTGAAGCTATGCACTGGATTGCTTAGACATCACCTAAGGATATTCATGTTGAAATCTGTTATTTTAGCTGGCATAGGTGATTAGTTTAAAAAATGCTGTACCTAGATGGCAGCTGTTAGCATGCAGTGATCAGCTAAGTTCTATAGTCTTAACAGCTAGTGGAACTTGCTGTGGAAGCAGATAACATAAACACTTGCATATTTGATTCTATTCTTGGGACTGCTTGGACAATAAGGAAATCTGCTAGAAATGACTATTAATGCAAGGATCATAAGTCTATCCAACTCTAAACTATTATTTTATCTACATCATATTGCTTGCAGTTATCTGTGGTGATGGCAGGTTAAAGAAAAAGTTTGAAGGCTTTGCTATAGAAACATTCATTTAGCTGCATCTTATTGTGATAGTTATGGTACACAGTATAGTTATACACCATATATTTTTCATTTCAACTAAATCATTTCTAGTTACCTTTGCTCTTTTTCGTTTCCTCATATTATTTACTAAATTAAGTCTTCTGCCAAGTAACTTTTCTTGGCAACTTCAGCATTTAATGTCTCTACGAGAAAAGCTACAGCTTTTAGCTGGATAAAGAATGGTTTGTGCACTTATGGATTATTTAGAAGTCTTGGCATTTCGTCATCTTTCTATATAAATGATTGGGTATTTTGATTGGATATGAGCTGTCTGACTATCCCAAAAAGGAAATATTTTCTCTATTTCGGGGGTTTTAGGGCATCTCTACTTACTATCTTCCTTAGTACTGAAATGATGTGAACTGCTTGTTATTCTTTTTTTTTCGTCTTTTTTTTGGTTGCATTATCATTTACTTAACTCTTCCATTAACAGTGCTGGTGCATTCAGCTAACAGACAAGCAGGTCATGCTCTTGTGCAATCATCATGCCAATATTCTTAATCCTGCTTAGCAGTTTTAAGTACCCCTTTCAAAATTGTGAAAATGGAAGTAGGCATGAGATCTTTGAAATTTAACTTCTCCCTGAAGCTATGCACTTGATTGTTTATACATCAGCTAAGAATCATGTAGATCTCCAGAATAACCTGAAATCTGCTTGTTCAGCTGGCCTAGGGTTTCAGTTCATATAATGATGAACCTAGATGGCAACTATCAGTATGCAGTAATTAGGTAGCAAGCTACTGTCTTACGCTGGGTGCAAATGACTAATCTCGGTTGGCATATTTTGAAATCAGTCAATTTTTTATCAACATCGAGAGGTCACAGTTTGTGACGGTATATAGTGGAATTCCTGGTATTCTATCTTGGGAAAGGTTTCATTATTTGAAATATTCATTCTCTTATGCATATGGAAAATGGATTTGAATGTATCTGCATCATTATAAATTGCAGCTTTCAAACTCTTTATAATTGCTAGAATGCATTTTTTTGTTAGATATTCCGAATTGCTAACAAGGTAAGGATTTGAAAGTTATGGGTGACAAAGAGTAAGTCGGTAATTGCTCGGTCTTGGTAGAATTGCTAACAAGGTAAGGATTTGAAACTTATGGGTGACATAGAGTAAGCCGATAATTGCTCGGTCTTGGTAGTTTGCACATGATGTATATAATTCATTCTGATTCTTGAAGCATCTTAAAGGATAGCTGATGGAATTTTCTGTCTGTAAAGTTTGCGTGTGCATGTGCCTGTGCATGTTGTGGTCTTTGTTTTTCTGCTTCCAGTCTCTCTTTATAGGTAACCTCCATTTATTGATGAATGGAAATGCAGTGAAGTCGTGCATGAAGCAGTTAAATGCTCATCTGAGCTATCCATTTTCTACATGCCGCATTTGTTTATCGATGAACTGGTAAATCAGTTTTTGTTCAAAATATAATGAATTGTGAAGAAAAGCATCAACAAAACTTGCACAGTATTGTGAAGTGGGAAGAGCTGCTCCTACCGAGGAGACCTTGGTCCAGAGGTTAAAAAACAAGAAAGGTTGAGTCCCCAGGCGTCTACCTCCTGTGTGGGAATCTCACAATTTCTGATTTTAGTCTGGCTTTCCCCCACTTAGTGAGTTAGCTGTAATATTCATGAGTTTTTCTATTGATGTTAGTTTTAATCTTGATAGTCAGCTGTTGTATTGATGCCCCGATGGGCTACATGCAATCCTATCCAAAAAGTAAATAATAATAAGTAAAAATTTTTTTTGAAAAAGGGTGTTCCTCATATCATATGTTATTCTTGCCTGAATGGTCTGATTCAAGTATGCTTCATTAGTTTTTATGACAGGTAGAAGGACAAAGATGATGCAGTTGCCATATACAGATACTCTTGTTGATACCAATTATAACATGCAGGGAATAGAAAACAAATGAATTCAAGCTTGTGTGATCTGGTGACTGGTTGTATGCTAAATATATTGACAGTTTGTATTTAATCATTTTAGAGGTAGAAAGTTGAACTTCTGATGCAGATGTAACTTGGTTGCTGTAAAATGATTAGTAACCTGTGGTCCTCAGGATTCTTTTGTATGCAGGCGATTATGAGCAAGGCCATAATTGTTCCTCTCCATAATGGGAGAGAGGTTCTCTGTAATTATGCAGACTAGAGTTCAATATGACTAGTGTGATGTACAAAGGAAATTTTCTCTGAACTTTTGGAATTGAAATCTTTTTTCGGGTGTCAATTTAGCACATTTAAGTAGAGCTGTTAAACGAACCGAGCTGTTTGTTAGCTCGGTTCGTTTCGGCTCGTTCGTGTTCGTGAAAAGCTCGTTTGAAATTTTAAACGAACCGAGTTCGAATGAATTTTTTTGTTCGATTAATAATCGAGTAAACATGAGTATGTTCGCGAGTTTTAACGAATGTTTGCGAGCATGCTAAACGAACGTTCGCAAATACGAGTTTGTTCGCGAGTTTTAACGAACGTTCGTAAACATAGACATAATTATCATTTGACAAATTTTAGGGTTAATTTTATGGCTGGACTTTTATATTTGGAGGGCAAATTTCTTTGTTTTATTTGTTGTTTTTATGTTAATGTTAGTTATATAGTTAATGAATAATAGAATTTAGTCACTTAGTGCTTTAATTATTTTTAAGAATGATTAATAATTTGCATGGCATATTTAAAGTATAAAATAATTTGGATTCGAGCATTTCGAACATGTTCGCGAACGGTTCGTTTATGTTAAACTAGAATTTTACTTAACGAACTGAGCACGAACACAAGTTTTGAGTTCGAAAATTAACGAACGAACACGAACGTTGTTCGAACTGCTTAACAAACAGATTTCAAACATGAGATACTCGGTTCGATTCGGTTCGTTTACAGCTCTATATTTAAGCTGTATATTATCATTGTTAATTTTTTTTGGTCCGTGGACTCATTTTCCATGCAACCTAAGTAGAATGAGGTACGTGACGCTTGGATTATATATTTCTATCAAAAATTTTTACATTTTCGGTGAACATATTTTTCAATCAATTTTTTACGTCACATATACATCTTCATCTTTTGATATGTACAGTCCAGAATGGACTGTTGATTAAGCCTATATCTTCAACCCTTTTTGGTCTGCTAATGTTGATTGAGCTCATATCGTCATTTTTTTTTTTTTTGTGTTGTACCAGAAAATTGATCCGAATGCTCTAATATTTACTGTCACATACATAATTTGAACTGCTACTTTATCAAATAAAATTTTACTAACCCTGTGAGAAATGGGTATACCTAAAATCCATAAACGACAAGGGCGAGCGAGTTTTCTTAAATTAGAAGGAATAAGCAAGTTATATAATCATAATAAAATACTTTATTTGTAACTTTAATATTTTCCTAAAGTTAAAAGGAAACCTGTGGATAAAGCCTCAGAGATTTTATAACCAAAACTGGAAACATGTCATTTTACTCTAGACAGCAATTCAGCCAGCCAAACTCAACATGTACAAGTAGAACCTTTTTTTTTTTTTTTTTTTAAAGAGTAGAATTATGGGAGTTGAACTTTTTCATTCACATAAAACAAAAAAAAAAATTTTTTTTTCAAAATCTTAAATATGCTATAGTTCAAGGCGCGCATAAATTTCTCAGTCATCGGATAGTTTCGGACAGAGCTGCCTCCATTCGCCGCCACCGGCCCACCATCACCACCACAGTCCACAGGTATCTTCCTTCTACGTTCATGTTTCTCTAATAATAACAACCCTAATTTCTATCTCCACCTCCACCACCACCTAATCGCGCTTCTCATAACCCAGTCCTCACGCTCCCCACTTCCAATTGTCCGTCTGCAATTACCATTCCATCTAAGTAAAGACCACACCTTTTGCCCAAATTTCACTATCAGCTGCGCTGGCCTCTCTCTCATTTTCCGTCTCGGGGAGCTCGAAATTATGATTTTTTTGTAAAAGGAAAGGGATGAGTAAGATTAGTTAGACAAGCTGCTAGTAAATGTTTTCCTCTTTTGGGGTGGGGCATAGAAAAGATAGAGAGTTTATTCATGTCCTTGACGATGTTTATGGTGATGACTTTTCGGTTTTGAATTTTCTTGAGATACTCGTTTCTACATTTTGTGCCAAAAGTTGTCTGAGAAATTTTGAAAATACTTATGTCATACACATATCATACACAGGCATCTTGTTATACTCATCTTCTCCTGTTTTATTTGCTTAATTATTCGCTCAAGTTTCTAGACTCCCCTTGTGATTCAGTAAGGTCAATATCATCCTTTTGTTTGAATTAGAGTAAATTGATTTTTTGATATGATTAAACCTGTCCTAGGTCTGAAATGGATAGGGTTCGGCAAGAAAAGATACAGAGATTCGAAGAGTTTGTTGATCGCCGCTTGAAGCCGGATCTTGTTCACGCTATTGCTGAAAGGCATTTGTACTTTATTGCTTCACTTGTTTGTTCTTTTGTTGAATTATGTACTTCTTATTGGTATTAAGTGTTCAATGGGTGTAGGCATATTAAGGCTGCTTTCCACGATTTTTTGATAGTTTTAGGAAATGGTATTTTAGTGTACAGTCAATGTTATTAGCAACTGGTAAAGGATACAATGTTTTTACTTTCTATTCTTTGCAAAAGCAGCAGGAGACTAATTTCTGAAGCCTAGCCTTACTAATCAGTTGGTGGTCTCATCCTGAACTCACCCACTTACAGTTGTTATTTGGAGAACCATTCCCTGTTATCACTTTATTGAGCTTATTACCATCAGCAGTGGGGTTCTATGAGTTGGAGTATTTGCCTACTTTCTGTTTAATATTTCGATATTAAGTTGAGAATTTGAAGACAGAATTTCTGTTATGTGCCAAATTTCTAATATTCTATGTATCTCTTTTGCAGGGACAAGGTCTTTGAACAACAAAAAGTTTTGTATCCTTTTAAATTTTCTTGCATTTGGGTATTCATATTATTCATCTTCATTGCTCAAACTCCTACTTCTTTGCACAAGTTCACTCTGACCTGCAGTGCTTCTTTATGTTTTTCCCCTTAACTTCTTGTAGCTCTGATCTGAAAAGAAACATAGAGACGTTGGAGAATAATAGTGTAACCAGTCTGAGGACATTGGTCAATCTTGGTTCTGAAGTGTATATGCAAGCTGATGTGTATGTCTCTTTATACCATATCAATGCCATTTTACTTGGTTTTCTTCATGGCTTTTGAGATCTTAGATCCCAATATTGATTAATACTCTTAGTTTCTTCTAAGGGGTTTTGGCTTGAAGGAAGATTTGCCCTTATTTTTTATTTTATTTTATTTTCTTTTTTGGAACTTTTGACATCTATAACGTAGCTTTTTCCTCCCTCGCAATTGTTACCCTTGCATCTTTGCAGGCCAGACACAAGTCGTATATTTGTAGATGTAGGACTTGGATTTCATGTTGAGTTCACTTGGTCTGAAGCTTTACAATATATTGCTGCAAGGGAGGAAAAGTTGGACAGGTAATGCCACCTGGGCAGTTGCATGAGTATCTTGTTCTCATTTGAGATGTTGATGCTGATTCTAACAACATTGAGCTGGCAAACGAATTTAAAGAAAATTGTTATAAAAAAAATTGTCTTAGTGTTGCTCTTTTTCTTTGCTTCGCCATCTGAATACCTTTATTGGTGCACACTGCTTGAATCTGGAACTTGCTAACTTTTTGTTTGCTTCTAAAACTCTGAGCTTAACGTTGTAATGGATAAATCAGTTAGGTGTTTTCAAATTTGTTCTGTGTAAATATTTGTGTCTTAATATACAGGCAAATAGAGGATTATACCCGCCTAATTGCATCAATCAAGGCGCAGATCAAGATGGTATCTACTCTCTGATCCCTTTGCTTTTTTGCTCTTCTTTTTGTCATCACCTTCTTTACCACAGATGAAAATCTGTTAATATTATCTTGTAAAGTTAGTCGATGGATGCTAGTGTTTTGGTTATAAATCTGATGCTTAATCACGTATACATACATCAATGAAGGAATTGTTAAAAACTGTAAAAGATGTAATACTGTAGTTGAAATTGAACCATAATTTCACCTGTTCTCATGTTGATTGCCATATATTTGTTGTGAAATAAGTGAATGTTGGCCTTGACTTTTAATAACGGTTCTTGGCTGCAATGCAGGTTTGTGAAGGGATTAGAGAATTACTCCAACTGACTGAGGTTTCTTAATGAAATGAGTATCATGGATTGCTTCTAGCAAGAAAAAGCCAAAGAAAGTTTGAAGCCAAAGAGTTTGCTTAATAGGGTACAATGAGGCATAGGAGCTGCACATATTCATGTACATCCAACCACTATTTCGTAGTGGAAATCAACTACAATGCCCTTACTGGCTTCTGCTTTGTGACATTATGTGAAGCAATTTGCTTGCTTAAAACCTGTAGGAATCATTAATAGAGGTACCTCCATGGATGCTGTCACATGAAGCGCTGATTGCCTTACTTCCTCTGTGGAAGTCGAACATCATGTGGGAAATGAGCGGGTAGACAGAGTAGAACAGAGGAGGCAGCCAGATAGGAGTACAATAATCCAGGAACAAGAAATAAAGAGGAAGAATTCAATTTCTGCTTTGTTCTTGCTCCAACTTGCTTTAACACGAAATAAGTTCTTAAAGATAAAGGGCTTGCAAAACCAATGCCCGACTTCGAGGGTTGGCAATACATAGGTTGTTTGGGCTCTAAAGGAATCAAGTATAGGAGAAGCTATGCTGGACTATGCACAAGCTCTCAAATCAGCACCTAGTAAAGCACTGGAGATTCATTGGCAACAAGTGAAACTGGAAATCTCTTCACAGAAGCTACTAGATTTTTGACGACACTAAAGTTCTTAGACTTTTTGCTCAACTATAGGAGATATCCACAGCTTAAGACTTTTGTTTTTGAAATGCTCATTGATTTTGTTCTCAAATGACGGTAGTATAAGGGGTAGAATGATTAGTATATATGCATCTGACCTGATACAAGATGAAAAATGTTGGATTCCTGTGTGTCCTAATATACACGATTGTAAAGCTCAATATGAGCCTTTGTTCAAGCGGTATAGTCTCTTTTTTTTTTTATTATTAATAAAGGTTTATCGTTTTAGGAAAAAAAAATTAATGCCCGACTTCAACAGAGAAAAAGAAATTCTTAACCAAAATAAGAAAAATGTAGAGAACCACAGTATAAAATTTTTAGATCTTTAAAACACTCGTGTATCATAGCCAAAATAAGAAAGATGTAGATCATATCATTATGAAATTTTGGATCTTTAAAACATCTGTATATCAGATTCCAAGTGGTGAAAGATACAAATATCATCGATATTCTATGACTGGGCGGCTTTGGAGCACAAGCACACTTCTTACTTTTTTTTTTTTTTAAGTTTTTTTTGGGGTAAAAAACGGCAACTAATTCTATTAATTAAATCAGTGTATAGATAGATTAGAGCAACTGCTCTACACTGTCTGCTCTTCGTTTCAACTTTGAAAAGGAGTGAAATATCAAATATGACAAGATTAGACGTGAAATGCCTAAAAGTAAAAAGTTTGAGGACTCAACCATAAATACGATCAACTTATAAGTAGTACCTTTGCAAGAAGCGCAATAAACTAAATAAAAATTTGGATAATGTAATACGCTCTCTCCTTATTAATTAATTAATCAGAATAATAGTTAGGTCTGCCTCGCATCACTCCCGCCAGAACCTCAGTCAGTGTGTGTGTGTGTGTGTGTTTTTTTTGTTGGCCGCCGAAAGTCTCCGTCGGTCTCAATTTTACCGAAGTAACAGCGCTACCATTTCGTTGCTTTAAAGGGTCAGGGCATGAAATATTTCCAAGTTTTTCTCCTTTTTCTTTGATGCTCTACTCACAAGAAATCACATTTAGGCATTTAAGCTTTATTCAAATTCATGGGCCAAACTATTTCATCATTGAACGTGCAGTCGATGCTGAATCCAGCTTAGCTATCCCTGTTCCTGCTCATTGCTTAAACTGATTAGTTCTTTTCTTTTCCTTTTTCCTTTGGGAATTAAAATTTTTCTTGATATTTGTTGATATAGAAAGGTACTATGGCTTGGTGGGGAGATGCTGATGAAACTCGGGTTCTTATTGCACCAGGTAGCAGCATTTCGTAATCGTCTTCTTTTTCCTATTTTCTTGTGTTACCGCAATTTACTATCCTAAAAATGACGTTTTTTTATGAAAAAGGAGTCTTTTTGTTTTGCTTTTATTTTGTTTAACCGGTGGGCTATTTTTTTTTTCACAAAAAGGAAGTTCACAGTCAATGTGGTTGCAAATTGTAATGAAACATTTGAATAGCATATGCCACATGTTAATATGGGCTTAGAGAATGAGCATTTAATTTTGAGACTGAACCTTCTAAGCGTACTCCTGTAAAATTGCGTGTATTTGGATCTTTGTAGTGGCCCAAAATAATCCGCATCCTTGAAGCTTGTAAAGTCTTTGATTTGTTGGCCATTTACTGGGTGTCAATTAAGTTTCCGTTGGTTCTGATTAGTTAGATCCACAAGACAAATCTAACTATAAAAAGAAGCATTTCCCTTGTTTGGAATGCATATTTAAACCCTTTCCTTTTGTCTGTTGCTTTGTTACTTATTTTATTATTGAACTTGCTATTCTTGCGGTATTGCTATTTCATTTCAGGAACTATATTCGTCGATCCTGTTTGACCTGTCCTTTCATTTCACTGTGCTAGAGCAGAACTTCTATATGCAATATCGATTTGTCTTCATTGATAAACTCATTGAACTGATTGGTGATATAAGATAATTGAATTTAAAGTCCAGTGCAAAAATCTGCAAACCTTTAAGCAAATCATCACTTGAAGCCTCATTTTAATAATATACAACTTATACTATTTTTCTTTCTACATGTAAGAAAGTCTTGCTTTTTAATAGTTGGAAAGTTTAACAATTACAGATCACGATACAAATGGGAATGGTTCAGGAAATGTTCTATCTCTTCGGCATCCCAAAACTGGTAATCCTACTCAAAACTCTTGGTTGCTTTAGTGATTATTTTATCTTTTAAGCTCTTCATGTTTGTAACTATACATTTGTGAGCAAGAAACTAAACATTTACTCTCTTTCAAGCGTTGACATTTTACCGTTCATGCTGGTGACTTATTACTAAATGGATCCTTTGTTCCATTGCTCTTTGTTTTCTTTAGAACGCTTTTTTGTATACACTTGGAACCAGTGTGAATATCTGTCGTAGTTAAAAACTACTTGTTGAATTGTTGGATTGCTCTTTGTTTTAGTGGGAAGAAGCCTTTTATGCTTTGGGTCTTTTCTGATGATGATGTTCTTATTAGTTTATTCTTCTCCTAGACAAGTCAATCAAGATATACATGATTATAATTTGTTGCTTATGTATCAGGAAATAAGGCATGCTACCTCTATTTTGATGAAGAACTTCTGGAACTTCACTGGTTTAAGCAATCTTATGGGTCTTGGTTCCTGGGGGATTATGTTTGTGAAGGTAAAATTATAAAAAATGAGCACCTTATCAACCAATCTTTTTTCGTATAAGTAAATCCATCTGGTACTAGTATATTTGTGGTATCATCATTCTTTACTAAGTTCCTCAGGATGAAGCCAAGTTTCCAAATGTCTTAAGTTTTGAGCTAAAATCAACATTGACTTTAGATTTTGTATGAATTAGGAGTGGGATAAGTCCATTCCAAGTCTTATTGTCGTATGTTGTGCTAGAGACATAAAGCAAGGACTGAATGTTCACTTTAGATGCCACGGAAAACTTCATGTAGTTTCTTGTGATGGTCATCTACAGTCATTTGCATGACTGATCAAAACCAACTGAGATAGTTAGAAAATAAGTTTCTTACTTTACTCGGAAAAAGTAAATGCAGGATGTAAGCTGTTGTGTGAGTGAAACTAGGTCTGATGGAATAATGGGAAAAGTTTGACAGTGGATGAATGATGCTTTTAAAAATGTCACCAGAAATATGATGTTTTATCTATTGCTATTACTGCACGAACTTATGTTTTCTCTTGCGGTCCTTAAAAAAAATTAAAATCACGAGAAACCACAAAAATTTTCTTTCTCATGGAACTTTGTTCCTTTAAACAGATGGCCGCTTATATACTGCCACTCCAGTAGATCCTGTTTTCATCCTGCTGCCTATATTTGATGAAGCACGAATGAAGGTAATGTTGCGGCCTTTCTTTTTTTTATGATTTTGGAATTTCGAGATTTTCAATGTGTTTCCTGTTCAGCTAACTTTTTAGTTTACAAATGGTAACAGTCATATTCATCTTGGACATGGGAAAATACATAATTTTTTCCACAAAAGGAACTCACTTAAGAGTCGGAATGATTTAAATGTGCTTTCATCTGATTCTTAACCTTATTAATACATTACATGTGTTACTGAGTGATTTGAGTAACGCCACTTGTAAAGTGATTGGGGTGCAACCTTTTCTGGTCTCAGTTTTATGAACATGATTCATTGTTATATTCACGAGCATGCAGAAAAAAGATGATCCAGGGAAATTCAGGCAGCTGGATGAGATATTGTATGTTCAAGGGTATGAAGGATATCAACAATTGGCATCTATTGCAGAAAAATCCATGCAAATAGTCTGTGATTTTAAAGGTAATTTATGTCATCTAGCACATTGACTGCCACATATTGTCATTTAACATAGTATTTTTGGGCTGAGGTGGAAATGAGTTATTGAACTGGAGCACTCATTTTGAAAACATGAAAGTGGGAAGTACAGTATTGAAACATTACAAGGCAAAACTGCACTCTGTTTGGGTAGGAGGAATGTATGTGGTATTGATTAAAATGCCTCACATACCTCTGTGCGAGGCTAATTTCCTGAGGAAGCTAAACTGCTTTTGTTTGTCTTCCTTTCTTTATGACAGAAGTTGGATCAGCAAAGTTTTTTAGGCTTAATGACTCGAAGGTGTTAAGGTGGTTGAGCTATAAGGTCAGTTGATCTGTTTTTACCATTGATGTATATCATTGCCCTGTTATGCCTCCAAAGTTATTGAGGTAGAGAAGTAAATGGCCTAATTGAAGGAAATAAATGAGGATCTCTCTACTTGAACTGAATACTTTAATTTCCTTGAGAAAAAAAAACATTGCATTGTCCGCAAAAGCATTGGCGTACAGTCTTTTTATATCAATCATTATTTGACAACTGTAGTGAATTGCAAATTGCGGCCAGGGGAAACTTTCTTCTTTGTAAGTATATAGGGTACTTGTTATGCTAAATTCATTTTTTATTCGGCATATGCAAGATTTGGAGTCTTGTGCAATCAAGCTCCTAGAGATCTAGATAATGGATTTGGGAATTTGAAATTTGAGTAAAACAAATTTATACTGAATAAGGAAATCAAAAAGTATACTGGGCCTAAGTAGAGAAAAGGGTTCATATACCTGATCTGATGTAGTATCCAGTTTTGGCTTAGGAAAAACGTTGTCAAGCTTGTCATCATTTACTCAACCAGAACGGGCATCATAACTTAAATTAGAAGATCTTTGCTTTCTTTCCATGGTGTTCCAAGGTAATAATTCTCCACAGATGCGTTAAAGGGCAAATTATGAATCTGCAGTTCCAATAAGGTAAATTATTGTACTGGTCCATTGATCTTGAGTGTTGACTTGTTTTGGGATATTTAAAAGATTTCACAAGATTTAAAGAACAAAATCAAAAGAAAAAAAGGATTTTGGTAAGGTGTGCCAGGGCAAAATTATATCAATTGTGACAGCAACAATCATGCTGCTTGCACAAGTTAGTGATATTACCAAGTTGCTTTATTGCCTATAAGTTATCAGCCACCTAGTTGACACTTTCTTCTTATCTAATAAGAGGATGGTTCTAATTCTTTGGTCTGAAATGATCTCTAACGTGACATAGGAAATAACATGAGGAGTTGACTCTGTTTGCATCTAATAGGTTTCCAGTTTGAATAGGTATTCTTGCTTTTAATCTTTATGGGGAAATTCTGTTGCTTTGCATCTATTAGGTTTCCAGTTCTTGCAATTTGTAGGTGCACCAATTAAGGCAGGTTCTACCAACGCTGGATAAGAACTATGCTGCCCAAATTGAGAGAGCTACATGTATGGTTTCTGTTGGTAATCTTTGAACATTTAAAACTTTATGTCAAAAAGTTATGCTATCTTTTCTGCCAGTTGTGGGCTCAAGTTTATATTCTCTAGGCTATGAAAAGCCACAATACATCTGAATATGCTGAGTCTAATTACTTATAAGATACATAGAGAGAATAGTGGTGATCACATCTGAACATCCAGTTTCTGGTGGTAGATGCTGCATTAAGTTGAACATGCTTTAATGTTAGCTAATTAATGGATCTTGTTATTGGTTTTATGTTATGGAAATCCAAAACATCAAGGTTTAACAAGTTTGATGGTACAGTGGTTGATGCGGTCTCAGTAATTGGTGAATACTTGAATGAAGAGCCTTGGCTGAAGCTTCTTTGCGGCAAGTTAAAGTATAGCCTTCAATTATGTGATTACAAGTAAATTTATTTCTGAATATTATTGAATATAATGACTGTTACATCAGAACGCACTCTTCCTCGCCCTTCATGCTTGTTTTGAAGCAACCTAAATAGAATAGTGGTATGCTAAGTGAGAAGCCACTAAATTGGGTTTAGGTGGAATGGAAAGAAGTATTTATGACTTTGCAAGGTGACTGATACTGAATAGCAAGTAGCAAACCACGTGATTGCATGAGATGGGGAGCTTGAAACTGCTGGAAGGCATTGATTTTGACTTCAAAGTAGATGGAAGGAATTTTATTCAATGGTCCGGTAAAAACTAGAGAGAGCCTTTGCAGGCACCCCTGCATTATTCTCCTGAATTGGCCTGTATACCTTGAAAGCCAGCTGTTGGCAGCTCATATTTCATTCTAAAGATGAAGAACAAATATGCGAGTCGAGAAAGTAGCATAAACTAATATGATAACCTCTTCCCCTAAATAGTTGAAGTTTTAGCTACTTTGTAAATCATTACTGGTATAAAACTTCTAGTTTCTAAAAGGTTTACATATGACAACTTCAGCCCAAGTTTTGTTGTGGAAAGTATATGTCACAGCAAGAAATTTCAGTCAAATGGCAGGTTGGATTTTCTGATGTAACAAATTTAAGGTCATTTCAAAATGGAAAATGTGATTATACCAATGAGCGAAAGAGACATTTTTGGCACTTAAAACCTGTGGATTTTGCTTGAAAATTGAATTAAGCCAAGTGTTTTAGGCCTTGTTTTCTTGTCTGAGAACGAGTCGTCCTTCCTTTAAAAAGAAAAGAGACATCTGCCTCTGAAAGGATAAGAATTCATCTTCCTGACACAATTAGAACAGCTTTTACTGCTGCTATTCTCGTAATTCCCTTCATCCTCTCACGTGAAGGATAAGCACTTAAACTCTTTGAATGTCTGCTCCTTCTGGGTCATTGTCCCTGGCTATATGGCTCCAGCTTAATATACAGGGGATGAATTCGAAGGAAGGGACCTAGTTGTCAGCGTTGAGATGAATAAGTTTAAGATCCATAGGATTTTATTTTCATTCTGATAAAAATATTGTTTTTGTTGTTTTATTTTCAGCTTGTGCTTACAGGATGAACTGAGATCACCAGAGCGCAAAATTCTTCCATCCTCACTTGAAAGTGGTCAGGCATCGTTTGATACCAATGCAATTCAGGTAAAGAAAACCTAATTGGGTTGTACATATGCTTGTATGTATTGCTGTGGGAAGACAAAGCTAAATTTTCTTTTGATGTACTTATTTTCACCTACTGAATCTTATGTCGCACGTAAGTGTGGTTTATGCTTTTTGATGCTAGGCATTTGTTAATCATTGACACGTCAGAGTCTGGCTCAAATTTGTCTTCTGAAACTCCAATTGTGAATTACTTGGTGAATTGGTCATAGGAGATAAGAACAAATTAACAGAGTTCTATCATGAAGATGAGGATACTGTGCGAGTGATATGGCCACTGTGGGTATGTCCTGCAGCAGGATAATCTCCTTGAGAGAGAGAGAGAGAGAGAGAGAGAGAGAGAGGAGGGATTTGAACTAAACAGAGCTGTAGTTTTTGAAAATGGTCTCGAAGAGAATGTTATGATGGTTCGGTTTTAAGATTCCTGGTGACAGTTGTCTTTTGTCCATTAATTTTTCAGGAAAAGACGGGGTTTGAGAAGAAAACTACTGGAAATGGAAGGCTAGCAAAAAAGGCCAAAGTGGAGAAAAACACTCGAAATATCAAAGACATGTTCAGCAGAGCTTCGAGAAAAGGAAGTTGAATTTTGCCGTATAATTGGCTGTAGCAACGGTATGGCACTGTAAAGGCGTGATGAAGGGGGCAACGGAGGCTGCAATGAACAATTTGGGCATTGGCACCTGTAACATTCTCTTGAGCAGATGGCTTTACCCGAAGGCTACTGCTTCTGTACAATGTTAATAAACATAATTGCTGTATTCTTAGTGGCACAAGGGTCAATGAATCAACGGTTTATACAAATCTCAACCCTGTAATTCTTCCATATATCTGCCTGTCTTTCATTAAGGACCTGATGAAGGTCCATGGATTGAACTATTTAAGACGTGGACTCAGAGGAGCTGCCATAGCTATGAGGTACTTTAGGCTTGCAAGTAAATGGAATTGCTGATTTCTGGTTAGTGGCCTTTACACTAGTCAATAATGTATTATTGTAGCCATTATAGTTTTAGGCCCCGTTTGGATTGTTTTTTTCGTCATTTTTCATGGAAAAATTACTGTAGCGATTTGATATATGTGAGGGAAAAAGGTAATAGGGAAATGTGATCACGGAAAACGACGTAATTTTTTGGCGAAAAACAGCAATCCAAACAAGGTGTTCTTTCTTTCTTCAATCTCTGCATTATACAATACATCAGATTTATTTATTATTCTTCATGTAAATGTTATAAGAATAAATATTATATATACTGATAGTATATATATATTATCACGGCTTGAGAGTGTATATATTATTATTATGATTGGTATATTTGTAAAATTTGAATTATATGTCATGTATTCAACACGAAAAGTATATATACTATAGAAAATTAATTCATATTATAATGGGAATTAAAAGAAAGGAAAAAGGTTTTTTTTTTTTTCCCTACCTTTTCTGACGGGGTACGAGACACCTTCCGGATGCCATATAATCGCGAGGCGTGAGGAGACATAATCTGCGGCGTTGCAGATAGAGGTGGACCCTAGACATCAATCAATCAATGATTGATGCTAGTGCCAGGTCGGAGGAGCCCAGGTGGGAGCAATGATGAGAGCGTTACACGTAAACAAATTACGCTGCTTGTGTACGGATCTTACCGTGTCCTTTACCTATCTAATCCGATTCGACAGCCTGCTCGGCTTTGGACGGTCTTGCTTTTGGGGCATGGGGTGGGCCTCATGGGTTTGAGAACCGTTAATTTATCCGACAATTGCTGAGGTGAAAGAGAGTGCAGGCAGGGATTCGGCCCCCATAGGATTTCCGAACCCATGCAGGCACTGACACAGAGACTTGGACTGGACTTGATCAGCAACAGATAATTGGGACAACAAATACAACAAAAAGAACATCCCGTTTATTGGGCCGTTGCTCGTTCGATTGTGACTTAACGGACCGTACGAGAATCTCTTACGTTACCAGTCAATTAGTGTGCAGGATGCCTTTTAGGTGTATAATGTTTAGGTACTTTAACTTATAGATGGGCCTAAGCACAGTTAATGAGAGTGTATTTACCACTACCACCTAATTTTTATCCATATGAAATTTAATTAGTGATCAATTCATTAGTTGCTGCTTGGGACTGCTATCTAATCGAGTCCACGTCGAGCAGTGCACTATTCAATCTTTATTCGAGTAAAAATGTTTGAATTTGAACTCGTCAAATTCTTCAAAACTTATTTTATCTTACTCAAACTCGAGTTCAAGCATATTGGGCTCGATCGAGTTTTCAAACTCGATTTTTTAGTAAATTTTTTAATTTTATAATAAGCAATTAAAAATTATATTATAAATAAATTACTCAAGAAGACATGACAAATACTTGACTTGATTGCCTTATCAAGTAGATCGAATTCGGTCAATATCAAGTTCGAGTTGACCTCTTAATCGAACTACTTGTGAGTCCGAATCGAGTAGTTTGATTAATTTACACCCCTATTGCTGGTAGCCTCTATCTCCTGAAGGGTGCATAAAAAAGTCAATAGGCATTCTAGTTTCATTCAATAGAGAAGAAATTGATAAGATGGATCTTAATTATTGACTCAATTAAAAGTTAGAAAAGGTATATGCCATGTTAGAGCATTATTGGAAGGAGTGATTTAGTCATTCGAATCAAGTACCAAGGCTATTATTCATTATATTCACCTCAAGTTAAATGTTGGCCTCATATTATTACCCAATAGCTCATTGCTGTGGCTGCGAAAATATATATATATATATATAAATATATATATTTAGTACTGGTAGTACTCGAGAATCAACATGTGTCTCATCAAATAGGAGCAACTAGTGGTCCGTTAGATGTCTTAGTACCGAATGAATTTTCTTGTTGCAGTTTCCTTATAATTAATTAATAGTAGGTAAATTTACATTGTTTTTTTTTCTGATTGTTTCGGCAAGATAAATTTACATTGTTACTGTTAAGGACCTGCATATCACAGGTAGGGGAAGCTACTAGCCTATCACAGGTAGGGGAAGCTACTAGCCTAGCCATGCAGCGTTCTAACTAAATCGACTAGTAAATAATAGGATCATGAGCAATTGTACATAGTCTTCTTTATCGCCCTTTTTATCCAAAAACAAATTTTGATGAACATGTTTTTTTTACCTTTTTCATGTTTAAGACAAACTTTTTATTTCACATATATCGTATCTGAAAAAAGTTATAATATTAATTTTTTAAAAAATTTTACATAATCTTCAATCCAAACAGACGTGTAATATTTTTTGTTAAAAAAATTCATTTGTTGTGATTGAATTTTGTACACAACTCTCAAACGCACAATTGTTATTTTTATAGCTATTTAAGGGTATACATATTTGCTAATGCTTAATTATATGTATATTTATTAATGTAACAAATAAATTCCACTCTAGCTACGATGATCACAAGCAATTATATAGCGGGGGCCCTCATCCATATGAGTACAGCAGTACTGCTACTTTGCTAGAGTGAGTCCAAATCCTGTACAGTGAGTAAAGGTGAGGTCATTGTCTCTGGGGGGGGGGGGGGGGCACAGAGAATGCAGGAAAGACGAATAGTCCTCTTTACTTCTTTTACAAAAAGCTTGTGGAAAAAAGGAGTGAAAGGGACGGTGCTTTGTGAGGTATACACCTGCATGTATTGACATGGAGAAATAAGAAAAGAAAAAGAAAGAGCCAAACAGAGAGAAAGACAAAAGGGGAAGTCGAAAGTCAGACCTCTCTAACTTTACTTCAAGTCCCCTTCTTTTGTTGGCTTTTGTTTTGTCTTACTTATTTACTTTTGTGTGTTGTGTAGTTGTGCACCTGTGCTGTGTCTAAAACCAATATTGCTCCCCCCCCCCCTCTCTTTTTTCTTCTTTTTTCTTGATTGAGTACTGGATTAACTTGACTAGTTCACATTTAAACGTATCTAAAATGAAGCAGTAATAGATTCTTAAGGGGACCTAATTGTTTTTGAACTGGGGTTCATGGATGATCAAAGAAATTTGCCAATTTGCTTGAGCTCTGGTGAACATTTTTTGGTTTTCACCTACTTTCATTGGTTGGTTAGTGATCAAATTTGCATGAATAGCTTACCTTCCTGTTTCTAGGATAAAGTCAGATGTAGTGGTTGCAAACGAATCGAGTCGAGTCAAGTTTTGGACAAATCGAGCCGAGCTCGAGCTCGACTCGATCAAGGAAAAGTCAGGCTTGAGCTCGACTCGACAAGGCTCGTGAGCTGTAGCTCAATTTTTGGTTCGCGAGCAGCTCGAATTGTCAGTTTGTAACGTACTCGAATTTCTGATTCGCGAGCAGCTCGTTAACTCGAGTTTCTAAATATTAATCTAATAAAAACAACAAATAATTATATTTTCTTAATAAATAATAAAATATTAGGAATATATATATGTAATTTTACTGTTAAAAAAATAAAAAAATAAAAATATATACTTGAACTTCGAGTTAATGACCTTAATATTTTGATCTTGAGTTCAAATTGGCCAGCTCGATCTCGGTTCGAGTTCGATATTAATCGAACTCGAGTCGAGGTTTGACTCAAACCGCTCGTGAGCGGTTCGATTCATTAGCGGATCTCGTCAAATGAGATCCTAGACCAATGTCTTGGCAATCAATTCAAGTTAGCAAGAAAGTTGCAATAGTTTTTGCTCCTTAGGGTATGAAAGGTTGCTTCTTGATACGGACGAGGGTGGAATACTTCCCGTTCAGCATTTAATTGCAACAAACTTTTGACCTACTTCTGTGCAAGATCCTATCCTTGACTTTATACCTTCCAATTCATCAGTTCGTTGGTATTCTCTTTTTCCCAATTCTTTTCATGCAACCATGCGAGGGAGTGGTATAATATACACTGACAACAAGCCAGGGACACACAGTAGCACTATACTCAAATACTGTACATGAATCCACATAGCTTTTATTATTAGGATAAAAAACAAAAAAGCTCGCGTGATAAATATAATATATAGAAAAGCTTTCTTGTGGTTTCAAAACATATAATACGATATCTCATATTTTGAGCTAAATTGTAAAGGTAACAAAACCCGTTAAATTTAACAGAAATGGACGAAATGACAAAAATATCCTGATATAATTAAACAAAACATAGCTCAACAAAATCATTTGTTTTATTCTCTAGAGAGAGAGAATTGAGGGTTAAGGGGTAGAACGGGTATATTTGTTAAAAATTAGGTATAAATTTTTTTTGTTAGGTTCCAAGAAGTCATTTCCGTTAAGTTTAACGGATTCCGTTACCTTCATAATTTAATTCAAAAGATGAGGTGTCATATTGTACGTTTTGAAACTATAGGAAACTCTTTTGTGTTATTAAGTTAACGAGAAGGGTTTTTTTTTTTGTTTTTTACCCTTATTATTATTAGTCAGACTCCCTGCTAAAGCCATCTTCCAAAATTGACCCCCCGAGTAGCCTGGTTAACCGTAAAGACTATTTCCAAACTCTGCATTCTCCTCCACATGTGACCATTCGTTATTTCTCACCAACACAATGGCAGCACAGTAATGCAGAGACCACCTACAGCTCTTCTTGCTTGCTTCATAGAGTCATAGACTGTTCCAACTGTCAATGCATGCAATGCAAAAGGACTGATCAGTTGCTACTATTTACTCCTACTTGTTATGCATTGGCCCTCTTGCTCTTGAATAACATTTGTTCGTCTTAACCACAAAAAAAAACCACTCAGGTGAGGTGAGATCAAATTTGTTCTTCTGATTATTAGGTAAATGCATTTGCAGTAGTCAAGGCAAGAATTATAGATTAGTCATATGCCTTGGCGGGCTTGTTAAATTTCAACTTAAATGACCAAATTAATCCATCAACTATAGTAGTTATATTTTGTGCTGATAATATAGTACAAGTAAACAACTGTCCAAGAATCCTCAGCCGGCATGAATATCTTGTTGATCCGGCTAGATATCATTTTGATTTGTGGCTGGTTTGTTCTATTCTTTGTAATATTTGCTGGAGTCAT